CCTATACCACCCTACACTACCCTATACCACCCTACACTACCCTATACCACCCTACACTACCCTACACCACCCTACCACCACCCTTCACCACCCTACACCACCCAACCACCACCCTACACCACCCCACACCACCCTTCACCATCCTTCACCACCCTTCACCACCCTACACCACCCAACCACCACCCTACACCACCCTTCACCACCTGACACCACAGTGGTCAGCAGTATTCAAGGCTGCTGAGATGTTGGACTAGAGGAGTGGGCATGTCCATGGGACTCAGGTCTGGGAAGCCATCAGACAATACCCCTCCCTCCAGGGAAAGGAGCCAGTGTGAACAAGTGATGTGGGAGAACATGTAGGGTCCTGGCATGTTGACTTTAAAGAAGAATGGACAGGGTTGAAGGCAAATGCAGAGGACACAAGCCATTAAAACTGCCGGAGTGAGCGGGGGTGTGAGGGCAGTTGCTGGCGTTAAGGCTTGGAGAGGGGAAATTTTTCTTGACTGCAGCCCAACATCTCCTACTTCTGAGACTGGAGAAGGCAAAAAAGAAAAGATGGAACAAAATCCCCCTCTCACTGCCCTTCTCACTGCCAAGTACCACTTATCCTCCCGCCCCGCAACATGAGGAGATTCATGACCACTTCAGGCAAGCCGTGTTTCCACCTGCTGGGAAGAACACTCCCCAAGGAGTTGGGTTTGGGAGCAGGAGGCTGAGGATATCTTGGCACGGACCAGTTGAGGGATTCCTACTAACCAGTCAAATTTAAGCTGGTTTCCCTCCAGGGGAGAGAGGGCTGGGCTGGGTGCTGGAGCTCAGTGCCTGCGATCCCGACACAGTGGAGGGACGCTGAGGGGGTGCGGCTGGTTTTTATCCCCTGCGGCATCTCATCTCACTGCAAGCACCCTGCCGAGGGTTTGGACGAAGGTGAGCAGGAGGCGAGGCGCTGCCTTTGGAGGGGACCAGCTGGCAGCCCTGCTCCAAGGCTCCCTCCCTTACACATGTGGCAGCCCAGGCTCCCAGTCTCGATCTTAGTAGCCCAGGGGCCAGAACGCTGAGCAGCCTCTTGTTAAACCTCAAAGACTTCTTTGTTCTATAGCTGAGGACCAAAAATTCAGGGCAGCATCTCTTGGCTGGTTGCTTGGAGGTTGCTGGGAGAATCCTTCAGTGAGAGAAAAAGAGGTTTGGACCAAGATCACAAAAAGAAGCCAGTTCTTTTCTGCTTTCTGTTCTTTGCCTGGAGAGAGGCTCTGGCCACTTCCATTTTCTTTCTTTCTTTTTGAAATGAAGGAACAGAGCTTCAAGTTTGCCTGTGCACAGCAGCCCCTGGGTGCTTTAAAACCCACTGATGCCTCAGTCCCACCTTCAGAGATTCGAACTTAATTGGGGTGGGGTGGGACTTCCCAGGGTGTTCTAATATGCCACCAAGGTTGAGGGCCGTGGGTTGTCATTGTGCTAGCTTTTCCGTGTTTACCTCTAACAGCCATCATGGGTCCTTTCCTCCCTGGCTGAGTGAGGCTGTATACAACCTCACTTAGAGATCGAAAATCTGCAGCGAGGCTTTTGTTTTCTATTTGTTCATTTCATTTATTTATGTATTTGAATATGCTACTTTTTATGACCGAATCAACAGTGAAAGCACAATTTGGGAAAGCTAACTGGTAAGTGGGTGAGAATCTCCATAAGTATTACAGAGTAAGAACAAACATCGTTAAAAATGATCCCAGCACTTTGGGAAGCCAAGGTGGGCGGATCGCGCCAGCCCAGGAGTTTAAGACCAGCCTGAGCAACATGGCAAGATCCCATCTCTACAAAATATATATTTTTTGTTATTAATCACTTCAACTTTCTTTTTTAAGAAACTTTTATTTTTACTTTAAGTTCAGGGGTACGGGTGCAGGTACAGGTAAATTGAATGTCCCAGGGTTTTGGTGTGCAGATTATTTTGCCACCCAGGTAATAAGCATAGTGGGTTTTCATTCCTCACCTTCCTTCCTCTCTCTGCTCTCAATAGGCCCTGGTGTCTGTTCCCTTCTTGGTGCCCATATGTACTCACACATTTGAGGCTTTTAATCAGTTGGTCTCTTGACTCACTCTGAAGCAGAGCAATTTTTTTTTCCTGTAATCAGGACCAGCCAGCCAATGCGGAGCCAGAGGGGAGAGGACGCGAACACCATGGAAGCCTCTCCTGCCTCTGAGTTGTTGATGGTTTTCTCTCCCCACCTAATCACAAACTCTGATTACCCTGGAGCTCATCCCTGTAATCCCAGCACTTCGGGAGGCCGAGATACCCGCATCACTTGAGGTCAGGAGCTCGAGACCATCCTGGCTAACATGGTGAAACCCTGTCTCTACTAAAAATACAAAAAATTAGCTGGGTGTGGTGGCACACACCTGTAGTCCCAGCTATTGGGGAGGCTGAGGCAGGAGAATTGCTTGAACCTGGAAGGCAGAGGTTACAGTAAGCCAAGGTTGCACCATTGCACTTCAGCCTGGATGACAGATCGAGACTCCATCTCAAAAAAATAAAATAAAATTTATCTTGAAGAATTCATGTGACGATGAAGTTAAATGAATAGAACACTTTTCCTGTGTCTGGCCATGCTCTAAGTGCGTTATTTGTCTTAACCCGTTGGGTCTTCACAGAACCCTAAAAGGCAGGTCCCCGTGTGACAGGTGGGAAGCAGAAACTCAGAGGGTTTTGGTAACTAGTCTAGAGTCCCAGGATTGAACCTGGCCAGTGGAACACAGAGCCTGCCCTGCGTTTCTGAGTGGGTTTGATGGGATAGATGAAGCCCCCATTGCACCTGCCATGCCCTCCTCAACACCGCTGGAGCCCCCACTGCCTCCCAGGGGCCTACTCTGCATGGTGTTTTCCCAGTGGTGGCTGCTAACCATCGCCTCCCCCTCATTCCTCCCTTTCTGGAAGGTCCAGCAGGGCTTGCTTTTCTCTTCTGAGAAGGTCCTTTAAGGCATCTCTCAGCATCTTCTTCAGCATCTCACCTCTGAAAGGAATCCTAACTCCTGCCTGGATGAGAGGTGGGTGCCGTCAATGTTGGCTCTGAAAACCATTGTCCTCTTCCTGCTAAGCATGGAAGGTCCCCCACACAAAGGTGACAATAATTACAATTTTCCTTCCTTGGAAATGGGGTTTGGTCTTTGGAGGAGGTCCCAGTCCTCCCACCTCCTGCGCCCCCCAACTCCGCCCCCCTTTCTGCCCTCTCTCTTCCATTTAGAAATGATGGAAAAACTTTGATGAGTGGGACACTCACCGTAGGATAAACAGGCCCCAGAGGACTCACAACCTGGTCTCCAGAGAACAGCCACACCTAGGGTGATCAGTGGGGAATGGAGACGCTTGCAAACCACAACATTTACACGTGAGAAATTCAGGGAGGAGGCCGCCAGGTATGGTGGCTTACGCCTGTAATCCCAGCATTTTGGGATGCCAAGGCAGGCAGATCACTCGAGGTCAGGAGTTCGAGACCATCCTGGCCAACATGGTGAAACCGCATCTCTAAAAATACAAAAATTAGCCAGGTGTGGTGGTGTGTGCCTGTAATCCCATCTACTCGGGAGGCTGAGGCAGGAGAATCGCTTGAACCTGGGAGGCGGAAGTTGCAGTGAGCCGAGATCATGCCACTGCACTCCAGCCTGGGTGACAGAGCAAGACTATCTAAACACAAAACAAAACCCAGCAGAAACCCCTCCACCCCCCCAAAAAAAAGAAAACAGAAAAATCAATTAAAATTTTTTTTAAAGAAAGGAAATTCAGAGACATAGAAAAATTCAGAAATTCAGAGTCATAACTGTAGGAAGAAGAGGGGGACAGGAGAATGGGCCCAGGCCTGGAGGTGCCGAGGAGCGGAAGACATTCCAGGGCTGCAAGTTTGCTGCAGCATCACCTGGGCTGGGTAGAGCTAATGAGGCAAGGAGGGGAAGCAGGTAGGGCTCTGCCTGACTTAGAGGATGTTAATGCCTCCATCCAGCAGACTACGTTTTCAAAATGATTTTGGAAACCCTCAGTGAGTCGTGATGCTAATCTAGAAGGCTGCAACCAGCAAAAAAAAAAAAAAAAAAAAAAGGTAGAAAATAAGAATGCATCACACATCACAGTGGCAAGAATTGTTTGGTGAGTTTTTCTGAGCTTGATAGCTTGATATGTACGGATGTCTGTAGGTGTCGGCTGGGACCCCATGGAAGATGCCTGTCCTGCCACAGTTGGAGGCTCACAACACGGTTCAGCAAATGCTCTTGCCGCTCCTCGGTCCATCTTGTGACTGCCCGGCCTGGGTGCAGAGAGGGGCCCCGCCTTGCCCCGCACCTGTGGGCTGCTGGCATTTCCTGAGGCTGCTGGTTGTTTGAAGGCTTAACTGCAACCTGCTGGGAAGCAGCTCTTGCTGAGTGCAAAGCATTTTTGAGGGAGTGGGGGTGGGGGTGCGGACTCTCTGTTTAATTAAAACAGGGAGAGGTTGACATGCGGGACCTTTAGTGGTTTTTGATCTCTCTCTCTGGCTTTGCCTGCTTTCTAACTTGAGGGGGGAAGAAAGCTTTTTCCTACTCTTTCTTCTTCAACCTCCTCTCCCATCTTTTATAGACCTGGCAG